GAGAGTGCCGTTCTAGGATCGCTTGTAGAGCTTGTCATCCTTGATGGTGTATCGTGGAGCCCTGAGCTTGGCTAACTTGGCCCTCTCCTCATCCTGGGGTAGCTCCCCCCTTCTGATAAAGGTCATGATATCGGAGATCCAGTCCTCCGGCCGTTGCTGGATGCATGAGACGGGGCTGGCATAGATGTTGGACATGCTCAGCTCCTCGACCTTAGCTATTTTGGAAATGTGCTCTGGGGTATTTGAGCTGGGTTTGGAGAGGATGTCGGCCTCGGCGTTCTCGGCCCTAGGGATCTGTGTGATCTCATGGGTTTCAAACGCGTTCAGCAATTCCTTGGCCGCCTACCGGTATTGTTTCATCCTCCCCTCCTTGGCCTCGTACAAGCCCTCAACCTGGCCCACCACTATCTTGGAGTCACATTTGATTCTGATGTGTTTGGCTTTGAGGCCGGCGGCGAGTCTGAGGCCGCTGAGGAGGGCCTCATACTCGGCTTCGTTGTTTGACACCCTGAAGTTGAAGCGGATGGCGTAGTATGCTCTGAATCCTTCAGGGGAAATGAGGACGACGCCTCCCCCACATGCTTTCGCGGCTGAAGAGCCGCCAGTGAAGAGGGTCCACGTGTCGTCTGGCTCTGGCCCGAGGGTAGTGGCGGTCGTCTCCCTTGTTGTGCATTCGGTGACGAAGTCGGCCAAGGCCTGCCCTTTGATAGATGGCTTTGGCTTGATCTCAATCTGGAACTGACTGAGGAAGATCACCCATTTCACCATCCTTGAGGAGCTAGTGGGGCTCCTCATGAGTGCGCCGAGGGGCTGCTAGGTCAGTACATGGACGGCGTGGGCCTGGAAGTAGTGCCCCAGCTTTTTCACTATATGGATGATGGCTAGCACCATCTCTCAATGGGGGAGTACCTGAGCTCGGCCTCCCGGAGTGTTTTGTTGATGTAGAATATGGCTTTCTGCACCTCTTCGTCCTCGCAGATGAGAACGGAGTTGATGGCCGACGTGCTCACCCCTAAGTACAAGTAGAGGGTGTCACCGGCTTTGGGCTTAGAGAGCACCGGTGGGGACGAGAGGTACCGCTTCAGTTCCTCAAATGCTTGTTGGCACTCTGTCATCCACTTGAAGATGCTTGCTTTGCGCATGATTTGAAAAAAGGGAGTGACCTTTCGGCTGACTTGGAGAGGAAACGGCTTAGGGTTGCCAGGCGACCTGTTAGCCGTTGCACCTCCTTCAAATTGTGCGGTGACTCCATGTTGATAATGGCCTGTATCTTTTCCGGATTTATCTCAATGCCCCTTCGGCTGACCATGTAGCCAAGGAACTTGCCGCCTTGGACGCCGAAGGCGCACTTCTTGGGGTTCAGGCGGAGATTGAATTCCTTCATGATTTCAAAAATTTCCCGGAGGTCGTCAGCGTGCGTGGCGGTCTGCTTGCTCTTGACGATCATGTCGTCGACGTATGCCTCCATCGTCCGGCCTAGGACCGCCCTGAAGATTCTGGCTACCATCCTGGTGTAGGTGGCGCCTGAGTTTTTGAGCCCAAAGGCCATGACGAGGTAGCAAAAAATTCCCTCTGGGGTCATAAAGGCCGTCTTCTTGGCATCATCTTCATGCATGAAAATCTGGTGGTACCCTCTGAAAGCGTCGAGGAATGACATCAATTCGCATCCCGCTGTCTCGTCTACCAATTGATATATATTGGGGAGAGGGAACGGCTCCATAGGGCACGCCTTGTTCAGGTCAGTGTAATCGACACACATTCTGAACGTTGGTGGCTTCTGGGCAAGGACGATGTTGGCTAGCCATGTCGGGTACTTCACCTCCTTGATGTGGTTGATTGAGAGAAGCATGGTGACCTCACCTTTGACGAAGTCTCGTCTGTCGGCTGATAAGTAGCGCCGCCTCTGCTTGATAGGCGTGGAGGCCGGATCGATTGATAGCCGGTGAGTGATCACCTTCCGGCTGATGCCTGGCATGTCGTCCGGGCCCCATGCGAAGATGATGGCATACGACCATAGGACTAGGAGGATGCCATCACGTTGGTCCGCCCGGGAGGCGTCCAGGGGGACCTCCTCAACCTCTTCGGCCGGTTTGGCGTGTGGCCTCTCCTCGTCCTTGGCGACGGTCGCAGTGATGGTGTCTATTCTTTGTCCTTCTCTTTCGGCCGGCTTCGTCAGCTTGAGGTAACATGCTCTGGCTATCCTTTGGTTCCCTCTGGCGTAGCCGATGCCGCCGCTGGTTGGGAACTTCAAGCATAAGTGTTTCATGGAGATGATGGCCTCCAGGTCCTCCAGTGCTGGCCCGCCTGGCCGCCCCCAGATCAGATTGTGGGCGCACTGAAGGTTGACCACCATAAACTCCGTGTCAATCTTCGCGCGGTAGGAGCCGTCGCCGACCTCCACGGGAAGGACTATCGTACCCTCGACGTCGATAGAGTCCTCGGTGAAGCCGGACAACGGTGTCTTGATCGACTTGAGCAAAGCCTTGTTCAGTTTCAGCTGCTTGAAAGTGTCCAGGTACATCACATTGACGGAGCTCCCCGTATCGATGTAAGTGTGGTGGATGATCGAGTTACCAATCTCACACCGGATGACGAGGGCGTCCCTATGTGATTCAGTACCCGGAGGTAGATACTTATCGGTAATGGTGATCGCCTCCGTCCGCAGCTTCTTCGGTTGGGGGGAACGTGGGATACCTCTCCAATGTAGAGGGATTGGGCCCATTTCTTCCTCTGGGTGACGGAGTCCCCCCCCCCCCAGTGTTTCCACCTACGATGAGGTGAATGTGATTCTTCTTTGGTAGAGGCTTCTCAAAGTCTTCCTCATCATCGCTGAGCCTACCGATCTCCCGTTTCTTCGTAGAGGGTTCACCCCCAAATTTGTTGGTGTTTACCCACGTATTTTTACGCGGGCCACCTTTAACAAATTGGGAGAGTTCCCCTGCCGAATCAGGCGCTCGATGGCTTTCTTCAGCGTGATGCAGTCGTCGGTGTTGTGGGAGGTGTTCTTGTGGAAACGGCAGTAGGTGCCGCCTTGTTGAATGGCATGAACTTCCTCCGTCGTTTGAGGAGCTTGTTCAATGAGGTCGTGCTTCTCGGCGTAGTCGAGGATGGTGCTGACCGAGTGCGTGAGGGGGATCCCCGACCGTTCCAGCCTCGGCCGCCAATGGCGGTCTTTCTTGCTTTGTCCACCAGAGCCGTGACGACCCTGGGCACCCTGGCCGGCCGGGGATGTTCCCGGGGCCGGCGAAGGATTTGTCTTCTTGAAGGGGTGGCCTCCGTCCTTCTTGTGGCTATGGAGCTCGTCGGCGTCAGCGTACAAACTCCCGCGCTGAAGCGCCTTTGGGTATGACCTCGGGGGGTCGGTGATGAGGCTCCTTGCGTAGGGGGTGCTGCGGAGAGCTCCCTGATAGAGGACGAGGAGGGTGCGCTCATCGGCCCCCTCAACTTCCTCGGTCTCCTTTGTCCATCGATCTATGAAAGACCGGAGTGACTCGTCGTGTTGCTGCTTGACCGAGAGGGGATGGGTGAAGTACTTCTTCGCACGCTTCCTCCCGCTAAAGTGGGTGAGGAAGCACTGGGCAAGGTCCTGCCATGAGTCTATACTTCCTTCGGGAAGCGCGTTGAATCACTCGTACGCTGGCCCCTCGAGAGTGGATAGGAACCAACGGCAGAGGTATTCATCCGACGCGTTCACCATCAACATGTTGTTCTGGTAGCGGCTGAAGTGCTCCTAGGGATCGGAGCGGCCGTCGTAGGACTTGATGGCGTTTCCCCTGTACTTCTCCGGGATGGGAGCCGAGAGCACCCTGTTAGTGAAGGGAGTCCTGGTCGTGACTTGGATGACAGGGTCACCTCGTCCTTCAGCCAATTTCCTCTCAAAGGCGCTGACCTTGTTCATGAGTGCATTGAGGCCGGGGTCATTGGAGGCGCCGACCGTGGGAATGTTCGCCGATTGTCTGGCCTCCATCTGAGCCAATCTCCTTTCCAGCTGGGCGATAACCTCGTCCCGAGGATCCTTGGCGGTCGTAGTGGCGCCCTGTTGGTTTCGCATGTGGACCTTGTGGGCCGTGTTGATCTGGTGGCGCACGTCGTCCTCATGCAGCTTTCCCTTGCCTTTGTTCAGGCGGGGCTGGTCCGCTGTCCGGGACACAGACCCCAGGATTTCCCTTGGCGAGCCAGGCCGACGTTCACCAATCCGTCCCGCCATCCTCTCCGATATCGGACGACGGCGCATGTCACCCAGCCTATTGAAGGCAGAGGCTTTTCCACGCGTTGGGGTCGGTCCGGGTCGAAGAGGGGAAGCAGGGTGGGAGTGGGACGACGCCGTGTCCTGGGCTATCACCCCCTCATCGTTGCCTAGCTTGATGGCCAACGGTTGGGGCTGAGGAGGTGGAGTGATGTTCTCCCCAGTCCTTGGCATGAGTGCGCTGAGGACGGTGGGGTTCTGAGCCAAGCTGGCGATAATGACCGATAGTGCGGCCTGAACCTGTGGGTCAACAGACGGAGAAGCCGTGGCCAACGGTTGGGCCGTGGCATTGTCTGCCTTCTCTGTGCGCTTCTTTTTCAGGCCGATGCGGGCATTAGGGGCGCCGCCGTTGAGCTGGTTGCGCAGATCCGTCGTGAGGTTGATGGCCTCCTGGAAGACATCCCCTCCTCCGACCTGGTCGGCCGTGGCATCCTCATCACGCTCCCTGTTCTCCTGATCCTCAGGGATGGCCTTGCTGACGAGGTTGCGGTTTCACTTAGTTCTTCCCATGATCGGTGGTTAGCTGTGTTTGGTAGCGACGAAGGATGCTAACTTGATTGTTCTAGCTCTCAACGAGAGCACCAAATGATAGATTATTTTCTAGAGAGAAGTGAGAGCTAGAGAGAGAAGTGCAAGTAAATGCTTCAATAAATGGTTTTCCAACCCCTACAACTACCTCCAGAGGAAGTATTTATAGGAAAAATACGGGCTGGGCTCCCAAGCCTTGGGCTTGGGAGGCCCATTTACAACTGGACCGCTATTGGGCCGAATACAAAGTAAATGATGGAGTATACAAATGAGTTAGTGTAAAATTCGATTCTGGGAGTTCTTTGTGGCCTACGAGGGTCTGGCCGATGAGTACATGGCCGACGAAGACTCGGCCGACGAGGTCACCCGGTTCTTCTGGCTTCCGGATCACGTTCTGGATTGTCTTCGTTCCGGTCGATGAGGGTCACCTGGCCGATGAGGGTCCACTGGGTGACAGTTGTGCCTTCTGTTCTCCTGAATATGTGGGTCCTGGAGCCTAGACTCATATACTCCATCAGTTACAGTTGAATTATTTAAATCTAAATTAAAAATGATATAATTATGTGAATCAATCAAGTCAATTATAAGTATGATGAATAGGGTAGCTCATTTTTTTATTTTGTAGCGGAGTTGTCACCTTTCAAAAATCCAGTCCAAAGAGAAATAAACATTGTAATAAATGAACCGTGTAGATGGTTGCAGATATGCATTGCATGCCCTACACTAATTATTTTTACTAGTATGTAGCACTATAATTGCAATAATTGAATATCTCATCAATCCAACCAACTCCGGTCCCATCCTTCTTATAATATGAGTGACGATCAGCTATCATCCTCATCAAACTTCATGGATTCTAACAAAAAGGAAGAAGAAGAAGCCTACAAATTCCTCAAGATCGTTCCCAACGCCGATGGCTCCCTCACCAGGCTAGACGGCGTTCCCATCTCACCCTCCAACCCATCAGATCCCCAATTTCCCCTCTCCAGAGACATTCCTCTCAACCCCTCCTCCGCCACCTTCATCCGCCTCTTCCGCCCCCCTCCGCCGCCTCCGTCGGATTCAAATTCCTCATCTCCGTCCAAGCTCCCCCTGATCATCTACTTCCACGGCGGGGGCTTCGTGCTTCTCAGCGCCACGTCCATCGTTTTCCACGAATCCTGTAACAAAATGGCGGCTGTGCTCCCCGCCGTCGTTGCATCCGTCGAGTACCGGCTCGCCCCGGAGCACCGGCTCGCCGCCGCGTACGAGGACGCCGTAGAGGCACTCGTGTGGGCACGAGATCAGGCGGTGGCCGCCGCGAACGGCGGGGACTGCGATCCGTGGATGGGTGAGCTGGTGGACTTCTCTAGAACTTTCCTGAAGGGGAGTAGCGCGGGGGGAAACATCGTGTACCACGCGGCATTGCGTGCGCTCGACACCGATCTCTCTCCCGTGAAGATCGAAGGGCTGATAATGAACCAGCCGTACTTCGGTGGGGTCAAGAGAACTGAATCGGAGAGAAGACTAGTCAACGATAAGGTCATTCCATTGCATGCCAACGACCTTATGTGGGCCCTGGCGTTGCCGAAGGGGGCGGACCGGGACCACGAGTATTCTAACCCGTTCACTGTTGGGGGGGAGAAGATTGGACGGCTGCCGAGGAGTTTGGTGAGGGGATACGCTGGGGACCCACTGGTGGACAGGCAGAAGGAGATGGCGGAGTGGTTGAAGGTGCACGGGGTTAGCGTGGTGCCGCAATTTCTGGAGGCGGGGCATCATGGGGTGGAACTGTTTGATCCCAAGTGCGCCGAAGATCTGTACGTTGCCATCAAGAACTTCGTCTACGGTTGCGATAACGTCGTTGATGAAGGCAATGCAATCGCAACCTCTGTGATTTAAGTTTATTTTCGATGAGTTTTTACATATATTGACTAAGAAATGTGTTGCACTAAAAGCTTCTGTAATAAAAAGATGGTAAAAAGTAAGATAATAGCATAAATTATACGGAGTAGTTAATTACATACTCCCTCCGGTTCTAAATAAAATTCACACTTTGACTTCACACAAATTAAGGAAATAAATTTGACTTTACTGTAGAGTACACTGTTGTGATACTGTTTGACACTGTTTTGCACTGTTTTGATGTAGATAATTTGCCAAATAAGGAAGGGAGAAGAGGTGTGAAGTTTATTTTGGACCTACCTGATGGAGTATATGGCCCGGGAACCCTCGGGCCGCAGACTCTTGCTACTCCAATAAAGGTCAATAGGCCTAGGAAGCACAACAGGCCCAAATCACGGCGCCCAAGGCACCAAGCAGCCCACAATGCGCACCAGGGGTGCTTTCGGCCCCCTGGCCGAAGGCTTTGATTCTCACAGAAAGGTCAAAACAGGAAAACAAAGTTACTAGGAGAAAACGGCGAAAATCAGTAGCCCTCGGCAACTGGAGCCCTCGGCACTAAGAGGGTCCCCGGTACTCAGAGCCCTCGGCTAGTCATCCACAGTCGAGGGTACCTTTTCCGACACGATATCCGCTCCACATGCGTATGGATCACCGTACCCTGTACAACGTCCCATCCAACACCCGCATTAAATGCGGCCACATGCGGTTGACAGCGCCAACCAGTTGAGGTGACCTCTCGGCCAATAGACGCTTGACACGTGTCCCTGTCTGGCATTTATTGCTACTATAAATAGCACCTCATTTTCCCGTTGTAAACCACGCTAAAAACGCTGAACACTTTCTAATATACTTCCTCTCTCTATACTCATTTGCTCTGACTTCTCTCTAGTTATTCCCCGTAATAACCCCTCGGATAAGCTACCCCCCGGGTACACTATCCATCATTTGGTGCTCTCGTTGAGAGCCGAACAATCGAGTAAGAAACCCTCCCCTCGACCAAACACAAAACACCCAGCTAAAATGGTGAGAACAACTCGTGCCAACTCCAAGAATGTAGAGGACAGGAACCTGGCCCTCGGCGAGGTCGACGTCCCCGAGGCCTCTAACAGGGCTCCCGGGGGCGACGTCATCGCCGGGTTGGACCAGACGGCTGTCGACCTACGCCAGCAGATTCAACAAAATGCCCCCGATGCTCGCCTCGGTATCGAGGCCAAGAAAAAGGACCGGAGCGAGAATCAAATTAGCCCTCCGGTCATCACAATCGACGTGCAGTCGGCGATCTCCGCCTTCATCCAGACGCTCACCCAGAACCCGGGTGCCTTCAACACTTTGGTTCCCCACCAACCTCAGGTCGGGGAGAATATTATGCCTCCCCCTCATCCACGACCCCTCGGTAACCCGGTCCTCCGGATGGGGAACTCCGAGGGGGTCGTGGCCCAAGATATGGCCTCCCAGGAAGTCCAGTCCCGGGACCGCCACAACGTAAACAAGGAACAGCTCCGGACTTCCGCCCTCGAGAGACTCGGACGGGCGCAAGACCGCCGAGGGGTCCAAGACAGCCTCGGAGGGAAGGCGTTCCAGAGGCCTCAGGAAAGTGGTGGGTCCGTCTCCAGGGCCAATGAAAGGCGTCCCCCTCAGGACAAAGGCAAGGCACCTCTCCATGCCAACGACGCACGCCACCAAATCAACCAGGCCCACTCGGCCCGGGTCCATTCGCAGGGGGCGGAGGCTCTCTCGAACGACCCTCGGGACGAAATCATTGTGGCCCTCCAGCGCCGGCTTGACGAGATGGAGGCCACCAAAGCCCACGCCACCACTTCCGCCCCTCATACAGACCTCAAGTATGAGGCGATGATGGCCAAGATGGAAGAAATGCAGAAGAAGATAGCCTAGGGCTCCGGGGAACCCACCATACAGCTCCGGACCCGGACGCCATTCACCCCAAGGGTATTGGCGGCCCGGATCCCGTAAAAATACCGAGGGCAGCTCATCAAGCCCTACGACGGGAAGACGGACCCCCAAGAGCACTACAGGAGGTATCAAAACAGCATGATGATGGTGGGGGGCATCGGATGAATATTTGTGCCGCTGGTTCCTCTCCACCTTAGAGGGGCCGGCTTACGAATGGTTCAACCGATTGCCCTAGGGCTGCATTGACTCATGGCAAGAACTCGCCCAGCGATTCTTGACGCAATTCGCAGGAAGGCGCCGCACAAGAAAACACTTCTCCCACTGGCTAACAGTGAGGCAGAAGAAGGAGGAGACCCTTCGGGACTTCCTGGAGCGCTGGAGGACGGAGGCTGATAAAGTTGATGGCGCTGACGACGAGACCCTCCTGGCCCTCTTACAAACAGTACTCCGCCCCGGGAACTTCTCAAGAAGCCTCATCATCGACCCCCCCCCCCCCCCCCGGCGATTATATAAGGGCCCTACAGCGGGGGGACCGGTACGCCGAGGTCGAGGAGGTGGAGAAATGCCACCACGTCCCAGATCAGCAACGCCCTCGGCCAGATGACAAAGGTAACCGGGGGCCGGGGTCTCCCCGCAATCATCCCAAGGATTCTGCCCCCTCCGGTGATCGCCCCCGGCATGGCCAAGCCAAGCCCGGGGGAGGCTACAAGGGGAACGCGAGGGCTTGGGCACAGCCTGTCCTCCTGGAGCACCCTCGGACACCATTGACGCACCCCGTCAGCGTTATTCTTGATTTTGCTGAGGAGAGGGGCCTGGTGGAGCGAGATTCACGCGCATCCCCGGAGGTATTTGCCATCAACCCGAACTACCCCTACTGTCGCTTTCACCGACACCAAGGGCACATGACCGATGACTGCCATCAGCTGAAGACGGCCATCGAAAGATTGATACAAGTGGGCCATTTGTCCCAGTTTATCCAGGGCCCTCAGCAACAAGGCCCCCCTCATCAGGGGCCACCCCGGGGGCAAACTGCGAGAGCAAACGCATGGGTCAACCCCAACACCATCCCCCTCGGCAAAAAGAGGGAGATTGGGAACTTGGAAGAAGAGGAGGAGGAGTACCCCCGGTATCAAGAGAAGAAGCGCCACATCCTCATGATCACGGGGGGCAATACCGGAGGTGATTCTACTAGTCAACGAAAGAAGTGGGCTCAATCACTTTACGTGGGGGAAGTCACTCATATGCCCTCAGTAAAGCAGCTGAGTGAGGAACCCATTATCTTCACCAACGCTGATCTCCCCCCAGTATCCTCCCCCCACCGGGATGTCCTCGTCATCCGCACAGAGATCAACGACACTATTATTCACAGAACTTACATTGACACGGGCAGCTCCGTCAATGTAATGTACCTCAACACCTTCAGAGAGCTGCACCTGGAGAGGGGGTCCCTTCGGCCCATCAAGACCCCTCTTGCCGGCTTCACCGGCGACACCATTGATTCCGAGGGGGTCATAACCCTCCCGGTAATCTTCGGCGACGGCCTCCATAGAGCCAAGCTCGAAGTGGAGTTCGTCGTCGTCAATATCGACTGCGCCACAACATCATCCTCGACCGGCAAGCCCTCGAGGATCTCGAAGCCGTCATCTCCATGAGGCACCTCTGCCTCAAGTTCCCAGCCGAGGGGGGAATCGGTTACTCAAGGGGGAACCAAAAGCTTGCCCGCGCTTGCTACTTTCAAGTTACAAAGAAGGTTAGCAAGACGGAGTTCCGCGTTGACACCATCACCGGAACTGTGGAAGCGGAAGAAAGGAGGCCGAGGGCTGAACCAGCCGAGGAGATAGAAGACTTCGCGCTCGATCCGGCCAAGCCGGAGAGAGTCGTGAAGATTGGAGCCAAGCTCTCCGAAGACCTGAAGACCGACATCATCAGCGCCCTCCGCGCCTACTCCATTGTTTTTGCATGGGGGCCGGAGGACATGCCGGGGATCAGCCGAAGGGTCATCACTCACCGCCTCTCGGTGGACCCTTCGGCCAAACCAGTACAGCAGCGGAGGAGACCCCTCTCGGCCGAGAGGAGGGAATTTGTGAAGAAGGAGGTCGCCATGCTCCTCTCTATCAAGCACATCAAGGAGGTGAATTACCCCTCATGGCTGGCAAACGTAGTCCTCGCACAGAAACCACCCTCATTCCGCATGTGCGTGGACTACACGGATCTCAACAAGGCGTGTCCCATGGACCCCTTTCCTTTGCCAAATATTGACCAACTTGTGGATGAAACCGCGGGGTGTGAAATCATGTCATTCCTCGACGCATTCCGCGGATATCATCAAATATACATACACGAGGAGGACGCCGAGAAAACAACCTTCATTTCTCCCGAGGGCATCTTCTGCTACCTTGTCATGGCCTTCGGCCTAAAGAACTGAGGCGCCACCTACACTCGGATGGTGGCCAGGGTATTCCAAGATGTTCTAGGGCGCACCATGGAGGCGTATGTTGATGACATGATCGTCAAGAGCAAGCAATCAGCAAGCCATGCTGATGACCTGAGGGAGATCTTCGCCATCATGCAGAAGTTTAGCCTTCGGCTGAACCCAAAGAAGTGTACCTTCGGCGTTCAGGGGGGAAAATTCTTAGGCTACATGGTGAGCCGAAGGGGTATCGAGGCCAACCCCGAGAAAATCCAGGCCATCATCAACATGGAGCCCCCACGCAACGTAAAGGAAGTCCAACGATTGACGGGCCGCCTGGCAGCCCTCAATCGCTTCTTATCAAAATCGGCGGAGAAGTCCTTACCCTTCTTCCAGATCATGAGGAAAACCGCCGGTTTCCAATGGACTTCAGAATGTCAGGAGGCCTTCGAGGAACTGAAACGGTACTTATCTTCGCCCCCTGTGCTCTCTAAACCCAAGGTAGGGGAGATCCTGTACCTTTACTTGGGTGTTAGCCCGACAGCCATCAGTTCAGTACTCATCCGGGAAGAGGATGGCATCCAACATGCCATCTTCTATGTTAGCAAGACCCTCAGGGAAGCAGAGCTCCGGTACTCCCCCGTGGAAAAGACGGTGTTGGCTATCGTGTGGACCGTCAAGAAGTTGGGCCATTACTTCCAAGCTCACCTGGTCCAGGTCCTCACTCACCAACCCCTCGGCGCCTTGATGAGGAGCCCCACTAGCTCCTCCCGAATGGTAAAATGGGTTGTCTTCTTGAGCCAATACAACATCGACATCCGTCCTAGGCCCGCCATCAAGGGCCAAGCCCTAGCGGACTTTGTGACGGAGTGTACGGCGAGAGCAGCCACGGACGAGGAGCCCTCGGCCCCCTCAGATGATTGGTGGACCCTCTACACCGACGGCTCCTCCGCCGTCAAAGCATGTGGAGGAGGGGTGGTTCTCATCTCACCCGAGGGCTTCCGGGCATATTATGCAGTCCGTTTCTCCTTCAAAGTCTCTAACAATGAGGCCGAATACGAGGCCCTCCTCTGTGGCCTTCGGCTGGCAGCTAATATGAAGGCCCGACAAATTTACGTCAAGTGCGACTCCAAGTTAGTCGTCGGCCAAATCTCCGGGGAGTACGAAGCCAAGGAGGGGAGAATGAAACAATACAAGGAGGCGGCCAAGGAGTTGCTTAAGGTATTTGAGGCACACTCTCTTACTCAAATACCGAGGGCTCAAAACTCTGAGGCCGACATTTTATCCAAGCTCTCGGCAGAATCCCCTGAGCACATCTCGAAGATTGCCAAAGTGGAAGAACTCAGCCTCTCTAGCATACATGCTAGCCCCATCATGAACATACAACAAAGGCAGGGTGACTGGATCTCGGACATTGTCACCTTCATCACCACAGGGCAACTGCCCGGGGATGAGGCCCGCGCTAAACTAGCAAAGCTGAGGGCTCTCAGCTACATTATCGAAGACGGAAGGCTTTACAAGAGGTCCTACAACGGAACATTACTTCG